TGTGCTAAGTTCTGACAGTTTCTACAAGATAAGGGTTTATTGCCAACGTATGCATGTTAAAAACACTGGAAAATGTTTTTATGTAAGCCCCGGGAAAATGCATGAAACAGAGAGTTAGCTACGTTTTCCCTTTCATTTTCCCCCCATTTAAGTCATCACGGCTGCGCTTATGCATGGATTTGGATTTTAATTTAAAATTCCGAAGTGTTTTAAAGTTGTGGATTTGTTGCTCTCGTGTGTATGCGTTTATATGCGCGAGTGGGGGGTGTCTTTGCTTAGCTTTCCCAGACTCGATCCATTGAGACTACAACAGCCGTGATCCCCAACCAGACCAGCTGTTGGAGGGGATACAGATTGTTTAGGAATTGAATAAATGGGAACTGAATAATAAATACATTGCGTTAGACTGCTAGGTCTAACGCAGGAAAGTTTTGGGATCTGACAACCAAAATCGCTGGCGTTTGCAAGGGGTTTTTGTAACGGTTATTTCAGGCTCAAAGGTAGACTGACTCATTTTATGTCTCTTGAAATTGTTGTGTAAGAGCCGTGGGTCTTGTAAAGAATTATGTAAAGATGGCCAACTTCATAGAACTTTCAGTTTTACAGTATTGTACATGTATTGTACATGTACATGCTTGTTGAGAAAAAGCCCTGCTTGGACAAACCTATAAAACAAGATTTTTATACTTTTTGGAATAAATGTTTTGGAAGAAACTGCTTTCTATAGAATTTGTGTGCAAAACATCTTGACATTTGATCGATCACTATGAAACCAATGTTTACGGTGTCTTGTGCAATATATCACTTGTTACTTCTGCTCCTAAAAACTCTACAGCTATGGTGGACAAAGTCAGATTTCTGTTTATTATTTTAAAATAGTTGCTCATTAATATAATTCATATGGAGTATAGAAAATAATACAATATTAAATATCAGATGCAGGCTTGAGGAAAGAAAATATTCAATAGACATCAACATGGCACAGAGAGATCTTCAAATATAGTAGAATTTCATAAGTTTGTTAAGTTCTCCAAATCTATTAATTGGAGACAAGCACTCAAAAGTATATTTAGGATTTAAAAATTCAGGGTTTAGGAATTTGTCACTACCAAAACTGAAGGCATGCTATTCAGAATCCCAATCCTGGTTACTTCCAATTTCTGTAATATACGTTATTGCTGCTTTTATTACATTTTAGGAATCCTTGCTTGACTAGTATACATTACTCCAAATCCTTGCCATATTTCCTACTTTGCCCAACAAGATGTGGGTCCAAAGTTTCATTGTGGTGAATATGCCTCTGAAGAAAAATATCCACTAAAAATTGTGGATGTTTCAAATCCACAACCTTCACATTATTGGTAAAGCTCCCTTAATTCTCATCAAATAACACACCTTCTTTAGAAGACCAGTCTCTATCAAATAATCAAATATCTTGCATGGTCTCCAAAATTGATTTTTGAATTTCTCACAAACATTTCATGACATTGCCAATATATTATGAGAATCATGTCAGTCATCAGAGCTGTTCTAGGGAATTTTCATCTTCAGAACATTATACCATTAAAACCAGAAAGTCCTTTATGCCGTGATGTGGATTTAATTCACTAATGTATTTTAATGATTGGTATACTGCTTGATTTACCAGACTTTCAGATTACAATATTATAACAAACTGAGAACCTACCAGAATAACATTGCTACTGCAATATCCATATACGTAGTTGTCAGCCATTAAAATCTGCCTCTCCAAAGGATATTTTTTACCATTCTTCTTGAGGGTGTAGGAGGCAAGATGAGTTTGCACTTACTGATTTGCTGTTTGTGTAAAACTGAAGGTGGAACTGAAAACCACCAGTATTTTTATCTCTGCTGTATGCCAGACTCAAAATACTACACTTTATAAACCTAAAAATGATTGTGTTAATTCGATTGTAAACCATATTTTAGATTTTAACTTGGAGCACTGTATTTTTGTTTTGAAAACATACCAGTTACAATTGCTCTGTGCAATCACAAACTGAACCACCTTTGTCTTAAAGTTTGTAAGAGTTTGACTGTCAATAGAAGATCATGTTTGTGCATCATATTCCTTAGTTTGTCATACAAAATCTGCACATTTATTTTGCAAGATGGGAGCAACAGAGAATTGTTTTTAGTATTCTGTAATCCTTACCATTGTGTAGCTGTAAACAAGAAGAACAAAACTTCATCTCCAGGAGAAGTGATAATTTGGGGTGGGATTAAGATGAATGTATTAGCTTTTGGCTACATAGATATGCATATTTAGTTCTTTATCTTAAGTAGAACTTCTGAAATGATGGATCTAGGCCTCCAGGTGGCAACTTAGAGGCATGTGATAAATTAAAAAAAAAACAACTGATCAGCCTTGCACAGATTTTGGGAGCATTGCTGATCAGATGTGGGAGCATTGCTCAAGCCTCAGTTGTGAGACTTGGGCTATGATATGAGACTACAAAGTATGTAAGTTATATGCGTTAGATAAATTTTTAAATAAAGTATACCTTTCTTCCCCAAGTCTTAACGCTCTGAAATTATTAGTTTTCTTCATGAGGTATCACATTGTTTTTAAGGGTTCTGTAGAGTTGCAGCATTGTTTTTTTTCTCTAACTGAAAGATCAGGTTAGATAAAATCATGGAAAAAGTAGGAATCAACACTAACTTGATAGCATAATCAGTCAGTTTATTAAAATTCTGAATCTAATGCTGGGTATGAGAAACCTATACATTTCAAACCCTTGGACTAGTGAGAAATTGCTCATTGGAATGCTCTCTAAAACAGGGGCCCTCAACCCCCGCAAACTTCATTTGCACATGCTCTGCACATGTTCAGGATCTAGGTACGTGTGAAACCATCCCCCCTTACACACATACACACACACACACACACACACCTGTGGAAGACAATTTTTCTTTTGAAATTGATCCCTGGTGCCAGAAAGTTTGCTCTAAAAGTTAGCTGGTTAAAGAAAGAGGGGTGGAGCTAAGGCTTCTGGGAGAGAAGGATCGAAATGTACAGCCTTTTCATTCTGTGTCCTCATCACTGCCAGTACTATATACTGTCCCTTTTTTCCAAAGTTACACTCCAATATTTTTTAAAAACAACCTTGTCAATTCGCCAGCATTTCCTGGGATTAAAAATTAGAAAGCAGCAAACTCTTCTGCAGAGAGTGTCCAGAAGATGCCTAAGACAAGATTGTAGAAGATGTTCAGTAGACTACATTGAATAATTTCATTGCTTTGCTTACAATAAAGAGTTGTTAATTATTTTCCTTTTCCTTTGAGTCTCGTTATAGCTAACCAGCTTCTAATGGCAGAAAAAGAAAATGAAAATACTTCAGTAAAAAGTAAAATTAGCTTGAAGTACAGCATGCTAAATGTTTCAGAAATGTATTTGGTAGAATACATTATGTATAATGTAACAGGTAAGCCAGGTGAAATACAGAATACTCATAACATTGAATAATTGAATCATTTGAACCATTCATCATGGTCTTCCAGTGGACCACATCCCTTTGAATTAAGGAACACAAAATAGAATCACCTCCGAACTTTTCCATCATTTGGTTAATGATCAGTTAGAGAATTGTAAGGCAGGCATGAATTCTCTTCCACTGAAAAAGACTAACATATTGCTGTTTTTTTCCTGAATTATAATTAAAGCAAAACTTCAAGGATGAAGAAAACCTTGTTACTAGAGCCTGCAATTTCCTTATATATGTTTGCCTATTCTGTGACCTCTCCTCTAAAGCAGCAATATATATACAAGAGGATCTGGGAAGAAACGACCAACTCTACCTTCATAGTTCAAGATAATATTTCTCATTGTGAACTGAATCAAAGCAACCCAACCTATGAGAAGCAAAAGGTAAGATCAGATTATGCATTAGGTGTGCTCCAGACAAAGCTAAGCAGTTAATGATTACATAATAGCAAATCATGTTGAATTCAACACATTCAGAGAGATGTTTCACCTGGCAAAACATCTCTTCACCTAGCTGCAATTACTTTGATGGGAAGCCCCCAGCAAATCTGAGGGCTGTAGAGTAGTCCAAAATAAAAGCAAAAGCACTATCTTCCTGGATGCAGACAATGCCACACAGATTCAATTCACTAAGAAAATGTCTTCATCGGCATTGCAAAATAAAATACAGAAATTATCTTTGAGCGAAGAAAAATGCACAACCCTATCCTTAAAATTAACTATATTTGATTCAGACACAAATGTGTCCTTTTTCATCTCTCAACTAGCCTCCATTCAGAATTCTCAAGAACATTTCAGGGTTTTACATAAATTGGGGGTAAATACTTTTGCACCTTTTTTCATTACTTCAGAAGCCTACTGCCATGCTGCTGCCAAATAAACTATAGAAATATGTCCAGGGAGGCCCCTGAAATCAAATTGGCTCAAGGAATCTTTACAATATGGCTTCCAAACTCAGTACAGTATTGCCTGATGTGTCCACGTTTCAGCTATCAGGATTTCTAACCATGCTGCCAGGAAACAGTTGCTACATCAGTCTATTAAAGGATACCAGATTGGTAAAGGTTGATATGCAGATATAAAAACTTCATTGGATGTAGTCCCAGGCAAAGTTACTAGTGCATAATTTCCGTAACTATGTTTCAAGCCACATTGATTTTCCTTAAATGGCATGCTAAATTAAGCTAGCTCAATTTTATATTAGCTGAGTTTCTGGAGTTTGTTTGTCTAATGCACACACAATCAGTGATAATCATATCCAAAGAAAAGATGGAGGCCAGACTAAAGTGATTAAATATATGAATAACCTTAAATCTTTGTTCTTGCTATTACATTTTCATCCTCCTCCAAGTTCTCAGATCATCATTTTTGTGGCCTTGTTATTTTTTTTCTTATTTGGCTTATGCTTTTTAGCTGTAGTTTGCATTGCGGGCACAACTGTAGCTCCAGGGCTGGATTTTGCATCCAGAAGGTCCAAACTACAGTCCCTGATATCTCTAGATCAGGGATGTCAAACTCGCAATGTCACATGACATGTTGCAACATATCGCATCTTTTTCCCCATTACCGGAGCTGGGGTGGGCACAGTTTCAGAATGATGCATCCGGCCCACGGGCTGGCAGTTTGACACCCCTGCTCTAGATAAAGATGGGGAAAGACCAGATTTTAAACTCTGGGAAATCTCTTATACTCAGTTCAGGCTGTTTTGGGCTATAGCAATCCTTTGGTATAAGAATTTTTTTTGTATTTAATTTGAATTTAGAACAATGTGCTGGCATTAAAGAAACATATATTCCAATTACTTTGGCTGTTTTGTTCAAATTGCTTGAGGCATAGTGAACACTAAAAACCCTCACATCATCTTAAAAGAAATGGAATATTTCAGGGATTTCACAGTATTTCAGCTGGATAAAGTTGATAATAAAATAGAACATACTTGATTCAAACCTATTCACCTGCTAAGAAAATTGAACACTAATCACTTGGACACTTTGGATAATGTCACAAATAGTTTCTGTTGCATTTCAAAGTGTGTTGATTCCATAGTTTGTTTTACACTACATACAAACTACTTACATATCCAGGATAGATATATTAGATAGTAATTTACTGTCTGCTAATATTTCATACACTGGATAATAAGATGGAGCCTAGCACATAACAAGATTAGTCTAATAAATCTATTATACCATTACAAGACTCTTTTTAATGTGTTGGCTATTTAACTATCACAGCAATGGCTTTAGAATATGTCATAGTATCTTTGATTGCTGGTTTCTATACACAAAGCTTTGTAGTAAACCAGAATTACTATTTATAGATGAGACCAGATGTTGAATTATAATGCATGCATTGACTGATCTCTCTCTCTTCTTATATTATTTTCTTTCAGGAAGTCCAAGAAAAAACCTCCCTCTTTGCTATGAAAACAGACTTATGTGGGGCAGTTTTCAGCGTTTTGGTGGCCTTTGTCCTAGTAGCGAACGGAGATCGATATGGACGCAAAATATCATTGGTTCTTCCCCTGGTGGGGAGTCTTACCAGCAGCATCTTCCTCTTTGTTATGTCAGACTTGTCTTTGCCCCTGTACCTTTTCTTTGTTTTCTCCTTGGTTGGTGGACTGTTTGGAGACTTGGCTACTTTTCTTGGAGGAGCCTTTTCCTTTGTAGTTGATTGCTGTGAGACTCAGAGACAAAAGACCATCCGAATAGCCGTGGTTGACTTAATCTTTGGATTCGCATCTGGATTGGGAGGATTGATCTCAGGATACATTCTAAAAGAAATAGACTTTATGTGGACATTTGCCATGATTTCTCTATTTCACGTGGTCAACATTTTTTATGTCATATTTTGCTTGGATGAAACCGTGAAAGTCTCTGCATTCCAGACACAGTCTTGGCGGGAAGGTCTTAAAGACACTCTTTCTGGAGTATATATGCTCTTTAAATCCTCATCCTGTAAGAAGCNTAACCAGTGGAACAACCTGCCTCCAGAAGCGGTGAATGCTCCAACACTGGAAGTTTTTAAGAAGAGACTGGACAGCCATTTGTCCGAAATGGTATAGGGTTTCCTGCCTGAGCAGGGGGTTGGACTAGATGACCTTCAAGGTCCCTTCCAACTTTACTATTATTATTATTATTATTATTATTATTATTATTATTATTAAACTATAAAGCATAGTTTATAAACCACAACGTTTGGGCTTTCCCAACGCACAATCTCAGCATCCAGGATTTATTGCCGTTGAAGGCATCAATCATCCTGTGCCCCAAATCGTTGACAACTCTACTATTTGATACAACTGGTGGGAAATAAATGCAGCAATAAATAAAATCTTAGGGCAAGGTGTGAACTTAACCTCTACCTGCCAGATGGAAATTTGACACCAGCAACTTTCCATGCAAAGCTGCGCTCGTCTGCAGCAGCCCGCCCCGCAACGACTCGCTGGATTACAAATCATATAACCCCCACCCAGGATCGCCGCTTGGGATACCGATTGGGGAGGGCTGCGTTAGGACACACACTCTCTCTCTCTCTCTCAACCTTTTTCCCCCCCCGGGAACAGAGCAGCATCCTAGATAAGAGCAGCCGCAGCAACTCGAGAAGCCGCGTCACGCGTCACGCGCAGAAGAAAGGTCAGTCGCTCGGCCCGGGGAGAAGCCCCGCCTACAGGTGGAGTGATATCCGAATGGAGCAATCGCTGTGCTCCTCTCCCTCCAGCTCCCCTAGTGGTGACCCAATGAACTAGCCTTGGAGGAAGAGCCGGCTAGGAACCTGCTGTTCGCCGGGTACAGTAGCATTCTTTCGCAGCGGAGGTGCATCCTCTCTCGGCTCGCGACCTCTCGGACTTCTTTGAACTGCACGGAAGCGCCCAAGGGCTTGGAATCGCCTTTTCGGAGGTGAGCGGCTGGGGTTTGGAAAGGAGGACCGACGGACAGTAGTGCGGATTTGCTTGCTGGCTGTGCTTGTGCTAAGTTCTGACAGTTTCTACAAGATAAGGGTTTATTGCCAACGTATGCATGTTAAAAACACTGGAAAATGTTTTTATGTAAGCCCCGGGAAAATGCATGAAACAGAGAGTTAGCTACGTTTTCCCTTTCATTTTCCCCCCATTTAAGTCATCACGGCTGCGCTTATGCATGGATTTGGATTTTAATTTAAAATT